ATTACTTCAAAGCTCCCAAGAGAATTAAATTTTGGCATTAAATGATTCAATTTTTGATATGACATTAAACAAGCAAATCAGTCAATAAAATCATATTTGAACTGATTAGAAAACTCGGTTTATTTGAAACCAGCCAATATCCTCTTATTTGAAGTCTTGGCTTGACGAGCAACATGTAAAGAATGATTCAACTGAGAGAATCCTCTAACCTGGCTGTTGAATTCAGGCTAGGAAGCCCTTCACCCAGCCATGCTATGCCATCAATACCCGAGATATACTGCTAATAGTTTAGTCTCATGTTCAGATTTAATTTCCTGACAGTTATAATTCAATGTAATATCATTTCTCACTTGAACTTTTCACTGGTGAAGCCTCGGAGCCACTACACATAAGGTTGCCAACATAGTTCTGTGCCAGAGCCAATGAACTATGTTGGTAATAATTTTTTTTTAAGGGCAAGAAGTAATAGTAGGGAATACAACAAAAGGCTGAAATTTAAATATATCTCTTCAGGGTGTGAAGGATTATGGCTCTTCACAACTTCCTTTTCTTTGTAGCTCTTAGTAAGGTTTGTTTTTTTTCTATCTCTCCTAATTGTTATTCAGCCAACCTTTTACACAAGATTATTAGATAGGTTATTTGCTGCTTTCCTTTGTCCTACTTACATTCAATGTATCTTGTGTGTGTTAAACACTTCAAGCCCTCTTTTCTCATTATGTGCCTTTGAAATTTCAATTGTCTCTTTCTGATTGTAAGGTAAACAAAATGTGTGTAGTCTGAAAGAGTTTTCATTGGAGTGAAAACAAAGAATGATGTATTTGCATGTGTAAAAAAAGTATTTTTTTTTACCAAATTTTTTGTATTTTTATTTGCTAATTTTAAGTGGACTTAAAGTCTTAGGATCAAAAGAAATAGTATTCTTTTCTAATGTTTTTGTTTTGGAAAGTAAAAATTCTTTGTTCAATATAGAAAAAAATAATACTTGTCTTTTCTTTTAGATCAAGACAATTATTTTTCATGATGTCACTCTTATCTAAGAAAAATCGTTTTTAATTTTTTTTCTGGTGTTGTCTGGCTGTTTGTAAAAATTAAAACATTGTTTATAGAAAGTTATTTATAGAAACTTATGTTTTGTGTTGAGAGGCTTTCAGACATAATTGCCTGTAAGCATTATTTTTTTACTTACCAAATATTTGATTTTTCTTTGTTTTTTTTTTTTTTGCTTTCAGTTTTCTCTATTTAAATATTTCAAAGATTTCTTCATGCACTCCTAAATTAACAAATATGAAGTTGTATTTGTTTTCTCAGAAAAAAGTCACAAATTAATGCATGAAAACCGTTTTTATGGTCTTTTAATTAAAGACTAGTCAAAATTCTAAAATTAATGTAATAGAAAGTGTTCTTTTGACATGATTTTATATTGCAAAGGCATTTCATTGGAATCTTAGATTAAAATCTTCAATATATGTTAGATTCCTCGAAAAAAAATTAAAGGTGACTAATATTAATAGTAAAAGTCGTTGAAAAAGAACCTAAACAATACTAATTGACTGATTTGATTTTTACAGATTATCAACCCTTTGTGGATTATTTTGGACTGTAAGAATAATTCTTTCTTTTTGCAAGTGAATATTGCATTAACAATTTCTTTAGAATAACAATAATTTTTCCAGATACAAGTCCTACTATTTAACCCATAGCTAGGGAGAAAAGAGAAAAATTCATAATTTTCCCAAGGGTATTTGCATATAAATGAATGTAAGAGATCAAAATTGTCTCTCTGACCACTCATCTCAAGCCACTATCCTTTGCATTTACTGACACATCCTAAACAATGCCATCCTGCATATGATGATAACTACATTCATGTCCTGGGGAAGATGAGAAATACATCCATGTCTTAAGCAAGACAATAAACTATATCCAACAGCAAGGCCTCTGATCAAGAGGCTTTGAAGAATGTGGAACCACCTCTTAATTGTTGGTGTACCCAGGTCCATCCTGAGCCAGGGTGGTAATACTTATTACGGTCATAGCTATGGGCAAATCGATAACCCCCAAACTGGGGTCAAAACACTATGGAAGTGTAAAAATGTATCCTAGGGTCATTATTGCTTTGCATGGGTTGAAACAATTTAAAAAAAAAAAGTGTCAAATATATTTTACCTATCTCTTTTTCTTTGAAATAGATGCCCCATTTATGATTTATTAAGCAGTGTATATTACGTCAGTTAGTATGCACATTTCAGAAATCATAGTAATGAAAATGCATTCCGTGATATGGGATCAAACCTGCATCCCTTTTTTTTTGTAAAGGATAATACTCTTTGATTTGATTTGTCACAAAGAATGTCACAGCAAGTAAGCTCCTATTTAAGGAAAACATCTCCTCTTCACTTAGATTATTTTCTTGAAAGCTGATATCTGATCAGTTTTATATCCAAAACATAAAAATGCATTTATGTCCTTATAGATATGAACAAATGAAGTTGACATCATGGAAGAGAAGGAAAGAAAATAACAGAGGGAGAAATCTTGAAATAAATAAAAGGTGGAGAGAGAAGATAGAAAAGAAGATAATTAGAAAGAAAAAATAGGAAAAACAGTAGATGTAAAAGACAGTGGGGGGAAAAAGGAGAGAGAAATTCCTGCCTCGTTTGTTCCATTCACTTTTGATCAAATGCACTTGGGAAAGACTTGAATTAATTTCTTCTCAACCAGCAAGGTAGACTGAACTCTCTAACAATATTGGCAGTCGGACTGAGACTAAATTATGAATTCAAAACTGTGAAGAAGACTAAGAGAAACCACTTCACTATCTTTTCCAAGAACTCATAATAATTCACATATAATAACATAATGGAATCCATGAAGAGCCATGATCACTTACATTATGAAAGGATATGGTATTAAACACTATAAATATGGATGACAGCTTAAGACATTTCTATTGAAGGCATTATTATCTATCTCTTATGTAAATAGATCAAACATTTTTCAGTTTTGTTAGATAATAATTAAAACCAAATTTTTCAAAGTTTTTGCAGTTTTTATTATTATTAATTACTTCAAATTTTTTCTTCTTCTTCTTCTTCATGCAGTGTCACTTCCTTTCCTTTCTATCTCTTTATAAATTTTGACTTTTTTAAAATTTCTACTAAAATCTGTTCCACCATCCATTTACACAAGCTCACTAAGTATGTTATGCCTTGTTTACCTCTGTCCTGCTTATCCTCAATCTGCCCTGTGAGGATCAAATTTTCCAAACCCTCCTCCCACATTATGTGCCCCAGAAATTTCAACTGTTTCTTCCTGATGTTAAGTATAAGATTTCTTTTTGTTATCCAAGTCAAATATATAATTCTAAATTTACACAAAAAGAAATAATTCAATGAAAAATATAATTAATAATTAAAGAACAAATATATTTATACATACATACATGGATTTTATGTATGCATACATATAATAAATATATATATATATATATATATATATATATATATATATATATATATATATATATATATATATATATGTATATATATATATAAATATATATATATGATATATATAATATATATTATATATATAATATAATATATATATATATATATATATATATATATATATAATAATTTTCAATACTTATTGATGTTGACTACATTGCTTTGAGAGCTGTAAATTTTAAATTTGAAAGTAAGCATTCATTAAATAATAAAATAGATTTACTGCAATCAATGCAATTATTCTAATCAAAAGTCCTGATGACTGATTGAGAAAATTACAAAACTTGGAGTTCACTAATAAGTATTGAACATTATTATATCTAATTCAATAATAATTATTTCCTTCATCAAATATTGAATGCTTTTGTTGGCAAAAATTCTGATCACTTTGATGTATACTGAATTATATAATATATATGTGTGTATTTATGTATAATTTAGGAGTTAATAGATTTTTAATCTGGCATTATTACTTTTAATGATTTTATTTACTGGGTACATGTTTTTGAGTAAACATACAGGAATTTTTTTAATCAGAGAATTTGATATGTACCAGCTTAGATCTTGAAAGTTTTACTCAAGAAAATGTGCCTCTTCACTTGATTAAAAAGGGAATACAGGTTAATTTCATCTAAAGAGGTACAGTTTCATTACTAAGACTTTTAATCTACAGGCAGTTAGACATTAATTTCATTAATTATAAAAATCTAGGATATCTGTGCACACACACACACACACACACACAAATTGAAACCAAGGTAGAGGATTCAACTGACCTCCTGATTTTAAAAGTATATATATATATATATATATATATATGTACTTAAAATTTGTGTATTTAGGCAGCAATCCTTCTTTCCCACACATTTCACTGAATACAACAGATTTAGTTTTTTTATACAATTTCTCATGTGATCCAATGATTTTTTTTCTTTTTGGTTGATAAATTATATAAAAACTGTCCAATTGTTCTTTTTATTCGAGTGCTTTTGGCTATACATTTAGCCATTTTCAAGGCTGAAATATATCAACTGTTAACAAGAAATTGATTGTTGTATGTATGTATTTATATAATGTTTTCATTTTCAAATATACATGTGCATTTTCAAATATATACATATATGTATATGCATGTGTATATATATATATATATATATATATATATATATATATATATATATATATATATATATATATATATATATATATATATATTTCAATGCCCATGTAATCATACTATAGAGACTGTTGCCTGTTTTTCTTGCTGGGACTGAGGCAGTTAGCCAGAATTTGCATATGCTATTGAGAAATATGAAAGAAATATGTAGATGTCATTTCTTTTGTGATCATCAGTTTTAACAAGTAATCTTGAATGGTAATTGGTATTTGTAAGCAAGGATAACAAATCACTGCTTAAGTCAAAATATTGTTGAAGATAATTGACACCAGACAAAAGCATGTGCAATATTTGGCATGAATGAAGTGAGGAAATTATAGAAATAGGAAGAAAATGGGAGCGAGAGAGAGAGAGAGGAGTTGGGTGTTGTTGGGAGTGAGAGATGAAAAACAGGAAGTGGTGGAAAACAGAGAGAATGAGAAAGGTAATAAGAAAGAAAAAATGGTGAGCTTTGTGAGAAAAAGGAAAAAGAGAAATAGTGAAAAAAAAAAAAAGGTGAAAGAACATTTTAGGGAGAAGGAAAGGAAATAAAGAGTGGCAGGGAAAATGAAGGACAAAAAGTAAACTAAAATGAGAAAGGTAAATAAAATGAATGAAAAAACCCTGAGAAATTGAGAGAGAAAGAAAATCATTCTAAAGATGAATGATGTGGATTGCAAGAAAAAGATAATGAAATGGAATTACATAGAGAGATAGATAGAATTCATGAAAGAAAGAAAGGGTGAAAAATATCTATAAGAAAAATAGTTGAGAAGTAATTAGATAGATATATAGATAGACAGACTGAGAGAGAAAGAAATAAAGAAAAAATCTATAAGAAAGAATATTTGAGAAGGAGATAGATAGATAGATAGATAGATAGATAGATAGATAGATAGATAGATATACTTAGAGTAAGAAAGAAAGGGAGAAGAAAATAGGTAGATATAAAGATAGACAGACTGAGAGAGAAAGAAAATCTGTAAGAAAAAATATTTGAGTAGATAGATAGATAGATAGATAGATAGATAGATAGATAGATAGATAGATAGACTTAGATAAGAAAGAAAGGGAGAAGAAAATAGGTAGATATAAAGATAGACAGACTGAGAGAGAAAGAAAATCTGTAAGAAAAAATATTTGAGAAGTAGATAGATAGATAGATGGATAGACAGATAGATAGAGTGAGAGAGAGAGAAAGAAAAAGAGAAAACCTGTAAGAAAAACAGTCTAGATGTCTTCAGATGGATAAATAGATAAATATATAGATAGACAAATTGAGAGAGAAAGAAAATCTATAAGAAAAAATAGTTGAGAAGTAGATGATAGATAGATAAATAGATAGATAGCCTGAAAGAGAAAGAAAGAAAGAGAGAAAATCTGCAAGAAAAACAGTCTAGATGTAAACAGATAAATAGACAGATATATAGACAGACAGAGAGAAAGAAAGAGAGAAGAGAGAAATCTGTAAGAAAAAATAATTGAGAAGAAGATAGATACATAGATAGATAGATACATAGATAGATAGACTGAGGGAGAGAAAGAGAGGGAGAAGAAAATCTGTATAAAAAATAGTCTCAGATAGATAGATACATAGATAGATAAAATTAGAGAAAATCTGTAAGAAAAATAGTCGAGAAGAAATTAGATAGATAGATAGAAAAAACAGTGAAGAGATGTTGCTTTAGTTATAAAGACAGAAAAGTTTTGAAAATAAGTAAAATTGAAAAGCAGGGGGAGTAAATATCAAATTACTTCTCTTGACTTGAGACAACAAATATAAGTTAGTTGGAAGTCAAGTAAAATTGAAACTAGCTTAAGTGTCATAAAAACACAGCACCTCTGGGCTTTGAGTGGTTCTCACACAAGACTTGATATTTTGGTTCTCTTTGGATCTCCTTTGGAAGAAAGTAGAAAATGAAAATTCCAAAAAGGAAAGAAAATATAGCAAAAAGGAAGGAATAAATGACTAAAAATGAATTAAAAAAAAAAAACAAAATGTGTAAATGGACCAGTAATAAATATATACATTAGAAATAATGTAATAATGACTGTTACAAAGGAATATTATAGAATATAGACATTGGAACAGTGAAAGTTTCCTTTGAAAATGTAAGCAAATCATTTAGAAATAGGAAAATGTTGTTAGAAATAAAGAAAAGTGTATTAAACTCTTACATAATATCAGTTTTCCTGTATGACAGTGAATCCTGAACAATCTCATCACAGATGAGGAAAGGACTTGAGGCAACAGAAACGTGGTTCTACAGAAGGATGCTGAGAATATCATGGATTGAACACATGAGCAACAAAAAAGTTTTAGAGAAAATGTTAAAAAAGCACACATAGTTGACATCAGAAAGAGATAGCTGAAATTTCTAGGCACATAATGAGGAAAGAAGACTTGGAAAATTTGATACTCACAGGACAGTTTCTAGGCAAGAGAGGCAAAGGAAAATAATGGATAACCCATACCTTGTGTAAATGGTTTTAGGAGAGATATCAAAAAGACAAAATTTACTAAGAGCTACAAAGAACAGGAAATTGTGGGGAGCCATGATCACCAACATTTTGAAGAGACACCACACACAGATGTAGAAGATTTTATTTTAAACTGTATTCTGTCATTAGTCTTCAAAAGTGTGTTTGGTTAACTTTTCTTCTTCTTTTCCAATTTGTATGCACAATACTTGGCCAGTCATGTGACCATAAATGGCCATTCAGTGATGCCCAGTCTGTATATAAAGAGTTTTGAGGTAGACATCATGAAGAGAAGATGCTTCCATGATGTATGGGTAAGACACAGACATCTGAAATATCAAGTGCTGGACTTGTGAGTAAATACAACATATTTAACATCCTCTAAATTTCCTTTTCCATGTCGGAGAGAAGGTATGTCACATATTTCTTCATTTTGTTAAGATGTTCTCTTAGGAAATAAAACCTTCATTTATATCCTTTCAACTTCTGCCTAGCTGTATTTACTTATTTATTTTTTAATGTTTGGTTAAGTATCTGTATGTATGACAGGAAACCACTAAGGCCACCCACTTTCAACATCAAGTGTTTTGGAATTTTTTACACAGACTTAACACAATGAAAAACAGCCATGTTTTAGTAAAAATATTTTCACCCAGATTTTAGAGAAAATGGAAACTAAAAGAAAACTTATATGCACCATCAGAAAGCAACAGTCAAAATTCAGGGTGGCGCATAATGAGGAAAGAGGGCTTGGAAAATTTGAAACTCACAAGATATATTGAAGGTAAGTGGGATAGAGGAAAGCAGCACATAACCTTCCTAACAAGCTTGTGTAAATGGTTGGTAAAAAGGAATTAGTTGACATAACAAAAAGATAAACTTTATTAAGGGCTACAACAGAGAGGAAGTTGTGGAGAGCAATGATCACCCACGTTCAGAAATGACATGGCACATAGAAGAAAAAATATTTAAGTTAAATCAGTTAGAATGGTATTGTAGTCATTCTTAAGTAGTTACAATGTCTTACATGAAGCATTTTAATTACTATTAATTTCAGACTAGTTTATTTTTCATCCACTTGTTTTGTATTATTAGATTGGTTTGGTTTGTTGTGTTTTACGGCATATCAACCTCAATGGGTTATTTAATGCCAACAAAGTTTTTATTGCTGCTAATATTTTGTTTTGTCAAAAATCTATATCTGCTTATAATTTTTCCTTAAAAAAATATTGCTGGTAATATTTTTTTCCTCAAAAATATATAGCTGGTAATATTTTTTTTCCTCAAAAATATATAGCTGGTAATATTTTTTCCAAAAAATATTTTGTTTTGTCAAAAATCTATATCTGGTTATAATTTTTCCTTAAAAAAAATATTGCTGCTAATATTTTTTTCCTCAAAAATATATAGCTGGTAATATTTTTTTCCTCAAAAATATATAGCTGGTAATATTTTTTCCCAAAAATGTATTAAAAATTAATATTTTTTTTCAAAAACATATTGTTGGTAATATTTTTGTTTTCAAAAATGTATTACTGGTAATAGTTTTTTTTCTTCAAAAATTTATTGCTGATAATAATTTTTTTTACAAAGTATTCCTGGTATTAAAACCCATTTTTTAGGGTTAACTATTTGCCCATAGCTGGCACCCCCTAACAGGTGCTACCACCCCAGGTCAGGGTAGACCTGGGAACATCAGCAATTAAGAGGTTGTTCCAAGCTCCTCAAAACCTCATCATAAGAGGTCTTGCTGCTGGACGTAGTTTATCGTCTTACCCAGGATGCGGATGTAGTTTATCATCATACCCAGTACGCAGATTTAGTTTATCGTCATACCCAGGATGGTTTGTTTTATTGGAGAGTAGTTTTATAGAAAAATTTACCATATTTGAACCATATAACCTTTTTAACCAAAAAAAAAAAAATCCTCTGTCGCATATTCAAAGTTAAACCATCTGGAAGGCAAACATTTACCCAGATGCCAAACACTCCTAATCACCTAACACTATAATACTTGAATATAAAATATAAAAGAATCATCATTTATATGCCATGCCTGTTCAACTTCCTGTTAACTGTACCTTCATGCAACTTTTGACTCATTACTTTCCTTTTTTGTCCCTACTTTACCATCTTTTATTTTGGTAGGTTGCTTGTTGGTTTTTCCATCCCCCTTAACCTCAATAAGTCTTGTGAGTATTTAATTTTCCAAATAGTCCTTCCTCATGATGTGTTCCAGAAATTTTGGGTGTCCCTTTTTAATTTTCATTATGAGTGTTATACCTGTTCTTATTTTCTTTAGAATTTCCTCATTATTCATATTTTCTATCTACGACTTTCTCAACTTCAATCTGCAGAACAAGATCTCTATGACTTTTTCACTATATTTATTACAACATTTCACTTGCTGTATGCTCCGGCCTTCTTCAGGTGGTTGGAACAAGGACACATGGCACAGTGGATAAAGGTGTTAGTTAGATCCAATGACAGGACCCAAAGAGTGTGAGTTCAATACTTGGTTAAGGCAGTGGAGAACTTGGAGAAAGGAATTAACAGGAGATAACTGACAACTGACATCCATTAAACATGGCACATAGAACTAGAACAGTCTACCCCAGTGAGTGAAATAAAGGGTTCAGTTTGACATTCTCACCACCTGAAGAAGGCCGGAGCGTACAACATCCGAAACTTTGTAATAAATATGGCGACAAATATGAGGACAATAGTCCGAATAATGTAAATAATGTACATAATACCTCATCTCAGAAATATAGACAGATACTCTATGACTTTGTGTCTTTTCTTCATCTTAAATATGAGTAATAGAAAGAGTGAAACATAAATAAATAGAGAATAAACCAGAAAATAAACATGAATATCAAGTAAAGTAAAAGAAAATGAAAAGGAAGATACAATATGATAATAACATTAAATATTAAAGTTTATACAGTAAAAGGCTCAAGAGCCACTCATGGTAGAGGGTTACAGAAAGAACTGTGTGAATGTAAGAGGAGATAGAAGGAAGTGAAAATTATGAGGATAAGGAGGATAAATAGCTTGAAGAGATTAAGATGGTAGTATTTATGGAATTTTACAGGAGTTTGTTCCACAGAGTAGCAATTCTTGTCTGATTGAAATGTCCTCCTTAAAAATGGAATATGGAGGAAATTTGGATGGTTTGACTATGGATGTAGCCTGGTGAGTCCTAGCTGTAAATTTCTGAATTGGTGGAATTCAAGAAAGGTGCTCTGAACATTAACCATGGAAATCCTGACATAGTATTGTTAGGCATGCAGTATTGCATCTGTGGAAAAGAGGCTGTCAAATAGAAATGCCATCCCCTAAAAAATTCATGTAAATGATTTTGATCTCTGTCAAGGTTGGAAAGTGAGGAGTGGGCAGCCAAAAAGTTTAGCCTTCTGTGCCAGCTGAGATTAAATCCTCTCACTGGTCCTGATAAACTCTACTTTAAGTGAATATTGGGACTTGTCAAGGGTGATTAAATTTAAAAAAATTAAAATGATTTTTGCTGGTACTGTCTAAGCAGAGAGTGTAGTCTTGGGAGATTGTCTTTTGTACAATCTTAACTGTTAATCATTATTATATGACAGCTTAGAAATATTTAATCAAGAAATGATAAAGTATAGTTAGAAATGACTCCATATTTTTCCCCATGACAAATGCTCTAAGTGAGCACAAGTAATTTTAGCTGACCTTTGAACTCAGCTTGCTGAATCATGCTCGTAACAGTTACACATCATTTTAACCTTTTTTCTTTGGGTACATTTTATTATTGCTATTAAAACGGACATGTTTTGTAAAGATGAGAAGAAAATAAAAAAGGAATATGTCTAATTATTCTGAACGGTAATTAAAAAGTTTTTTGTTCCTCTATCTTCAAAGCTTGATTGAGGAAATAAAACAAATATGTAAAAGAAGAGAAATATTATAAATGAGATTACCACTATATGCATATGTCTGGGAATGTGGCCAAGTGGTTAGAACATTTGCTTTCTGACCATAAGACCTGGGTTCAAATTTCACCATGGTCAGTTTGTCAGTAAGAAGATCTCCTGATGTTATTGGACTAGAGGGGTTGATCCCAGCATGCACCACATTTAGAAAGTGCCTGAAAACCATACCACGGGCTGACCCAAGCCTTGTGAGTGAAATTGGGTAGACAGAACCCTTGGAAGCCATCGATAGCTGTGCTAACACAAAGTCACAAGTCATGGCCAAGGGCTTGAGTATGCTGGCCTTGTTCAAATTATTGATCACACTAGATAACACGCTCTTTCCCAGAAACTGTAACTAAGGTCTGCTCAGCATAGTTGCAGTATAAACCT